TATTGTTGGACAAGTTATACGCCTATGGAGTGAGGGGAAATATGCATGATTTGATTAGATCTTATTTAAGCAATAGAACTCAAATAACCCAAATAACTAAGATATGTCCTATAACTAAAAAGGTAGTTAACCACTCATCCTCATGCAGAATAGTCAGGTCGGGCATTCCACAGGGAACAGTGGTGGGCCCACTTCTATTTATTGTATACATAAACGACCTTCCAAAATATTCAAAATACAAAACTGTCCTATTTGCAGATGATAGCACAATACTTTTTACCGGAAATGATAAAATTGATATGGAGACAGAGATAAACATGACTCTCGGAAATATAATAAACTGGTTGACATCAAATAATTTATGTATTAATCTCAGCAAAACTAATTTAATGACATTTAGAAATAGATCGAATAAAATAGCCAATATGAATATTAATTACCAAAGTGATTCGGTTCAAGAAGTGGACGTTACGCGATTTTTAGGACTGAATATTGACAACACTCTAAACTTTAAACAGCACATTGACTCACTTTGCACAAGAGTAAATACATACTCATATGCACTCTATATGCTCAGAAAGACGGTTAGTAGTTCAACTCTTCTTACGGCTTATTATGGCTATGTTGCACCTATCTTAAGGTATTGTGTTATTTTTTGGGGTAACTCCACTAACAAAGACGCTGTGTTTAGAGCGCAAAAAAAATGTGTTCGAGCTATAGCTAATATAAAGCAAACAGATAGTTGCAAACCCTATTTTATAAAACTAAATATACTGACCGTACCGTGCATTTATATATTAGAAGTTGCACTATTTGTCAAAAAAAACCTGCAATGCTTTAACAAATTTAATAGTAATAGATATCAATCTAATGTATATTTTCCAGGCGCTAAAACAGCATTACTTAATAAAAGTATTTTCCGCATGGCGCCACGTGTCTATAATCACCTACCCAAGTCTGTATTGGAGATTTCAGATATAAATATATTTAAAAGAAAAATCAAAGCCCTATTAATGCCAAAAGCATATTACACTGTCAACGAGTATTTGCAGGACATGTTAATGTAAAATATCACTAATTTTTATTAAGTAAATTTCTATATCTTATAAGTTTTGCATGCATTTGATATGATATGTAAACCAATCGGTGTGGAATCTCACACATTTTTGGGCATTGTCCTTTGTATGACATTTTATTTAATCTAATTCATGACATTTTATTTGAGAAATACATTTATTGACATTAAATTTTAATGAAATTGTTGACATTATATTTTGAATTCACTTATATTACAATAATTGTGTTGAAAGCTTGAATTTTGAATGTACTTGATTTTTTTTTCCAAATAACATTGTAAAACTGTAATTTTTGTAAATTTTGTAATTTGCATGCCTCAAGGCGTAATATGGTCGGAACTGTATCTACTTATGTGCTAACAACTTAATTTACCCATATTAGCAAATAAATGATTTGATTTGATTTGATTTGATTTGGAGTCACTTAAGCGAGCTCTTGTCCGAGAAGCGAAGCGAATTCCTCTGGAAAAGATTCGTGCCGCCATTGATGACTGGCGAAATCGTCTAAGGGCATGTATTAAAAACAGGGGTGGTCATTTTGAATAATAATTATATTTAATTTTTACTTACTTACTTAATGTTTGTTATTGTTTTTATAAATATAAGAGTATTATTTAAAAAAATATGCAACTTTTAATTTGTCTCAAAACTTATGAACACACGAGGTAGATAAACACTGCACTTTTATGCAGGCGTTTAATACAAATGCATACCTAATACTTAATCGTTTAAAAAGTTACTAGAACCGGACCTGTATCTGTATTTAGTGCACCATCGCTTTTATACAAGTACCTACTAATTAGAACAAGTATGTAAAAGTAACTGTGGTTACTTTTACATACTTGTGTGTACAAATCAGTACAAATGAATACTTCTCCGCTGGTATGTAATTTCAATAGTTTTAATTACATCTGCCGGCGATAGGTAAACCTGTTTGCTATAAATACTAACGTATGTAGTGTAATTAATATAGATGGAGGTAATTACCGCGTGGATTTAATTGCATTTACATACATCGGTTAATTATAGTAGCACAGGTTTAACAAAGTATCATTCCCTGCAATCTTACAAGTATTTTCTTTTAGTCTAATCGCGTTTTTCTTTGAACGTTAGTACTAGGTAGTTTGATTTTAAATATGAGTCTTTTTCTATTGCGAACTACGATTTCTAACGATGTATACAAGTGGGTAGCGTCTGGTACATTAATTTAAAACGCGTATTTTTTCTTTTTACACAAAATTAAATACTTTCGACGATACATTAATTTGAAATATCGTGTGACGTCACAGCGTGTCACATTTTATAGCACGCTATGACGTAACGACCCACTCCTAAACTTAGCGCCATTTTATCTAAGTATTGCAACTTAATACGAGAAAATAAAAAAATACGTGTCTAATATATTTTCATTATCTAACTGAAGGACTAATTAGATTTTTAATTTTGATACCCTGGACACAACCCAATTTATAAAAAAAGTTTACTAAACTGTAAAATTTAATATTGTAAAATTAAACTGTAAAACACCATTTAAAGCGCAGCGGCAGTCGTTATTCAGCCCATGTTTTTTTTTTTTGTAAGCGGGGAAATCATCGAATGACTGCTCCCGCCCATTAGTTGTCCAGAGCTGACGTGACGGTGTCGATTGCTTACATCCAGGTGATCCATATGCTCGTTTGCTGACCTATCCCAAATAAATATGACCGTTTTCGCATGTTTTGAATTTTTTATACTAATTAATAGTCAATGATCGGCATATAAAGTTTATTTGGAATCGTGCATTATGCAGTTAGCTTTACTTATCAGTGATTTCATTTTAAGTAGAACGATGATTTATTTTTTAGTTTTGTAGATAAGTAGCTTTTTAGTCGCGGAGAACCTAACGGGTAACCGGGTCTCCGGCTCGACGTGCAGGAGAAGGAACGGGGTGGTTTTTAGTTAGTAAGAGTCTGACATCAGTCTGAGCCTGAGTTAATTTAGTATTCATAATAAAGTTTCTAATGAATTATTTTTAAAACTTTAAGTAGAGTAGTAGTGTTTCATGTAGAAGTAAATAGTTGTTCAAGACTTTCCAAGACCCACCCTTAAATCCCAATTTACTTCCAAATGTTTGAAAATGGCTCCAAATTTTTAACCAACTTCAAAAAAGAAGTTACTCTCGCGATTAGCTGAACCGATTTTGATGCGGTTTTCAGAAAAGTGTTTTGTACACTTAGGAGAAGATTTTTGTATATTATTTAGGCGGTTTTAAAAAGAAAGGGGGTTGAAATAGTGTTGTTTAAACGTAGTTAATAACAGAATTATTTAAAGTCATGCTTGTACGACAAGCTTTTTTATCTACAAACATAATACAATTAAGTAAATGTGATGAGATTATAAAGAGCTGTATAATCATTTTATAGTAGGCTTGAGTTAATACTAAACCTCCTTATTACTTTATTGTATGTAGGATTTGTTTAATATGATTGTATGTGTGATGAGTAGTAGTAGAAATAGTCATCATAATTATTGTTCTAGAAAGTATGCACCATTGTGGCTGTAGATATAAATTAATAAAAATTGTTAAAACCCTGTTTCACTCTTACATTTATTATAGAATAGGAGGCAAACAAGCAGACATAGTTATCACCTGATGGTAAGCGATCAGCGACGCCCATAGACACCCGCAACACTAGAGGAGTCACAAGTGTGTTGTCCACCTTTACATGATCAATATTGTAAGAAAGTTTTATGGTTGTTATTAGAACTTGGTTTTTATTAATTATTATTTGAATGATCCACGAGTTGTCTAGCTGGTGGATGTGTTTGCGATGTTGATGAAGTAATATGTTAGAAAACATGTTTTAAGTGTGACACATGAGAAAAACATAGTAAACAAACTAAGTAAATGTGTAAAACAAATACTGTATCTACCTAAAACATCACACTAATATTATAAATGTGCAAGTTTCTTTGTTTGGATGATTTTATAATTTGTGTCTCAATTTCATATAATTAACTAGACAGTGTATTCAATTAATTCAATAATTTTGCATGCCGTAAGGCAAAATGTACCGGGACTCTCCATAAGCTATAAAACAACATATTTGTTACCTACATTTTTGACAAATAAATTATTTCCGATTTCTGATCTTTGTCCGTCAATCACGCTGAAACCACTGAACGAATTTTGATGAAATTTGGTAGGCTATGGGCTGACTTAAGTCATAGCATACTTTTTATCCCGAATTAATGCGCCCATGGGATAAAACACGGGCAAGGCCGCAGGTAAAAGCCAGTGTAGTCTATATGACTGGCCACATTTATAAATGTTAAGTTATTTCATAGTAAAATGATTTAGGTATTGTTAGAGTCAATTATAAATAACCAAAAATTAAGGATAATGATGTATAAAGCCTTTGTAAATATAAAAGCCTTGTATATTTACAAAAGCCCATGTCCTCGGACAACGCTATAGTTTCAATACAACAATATGACAAATGTAGGCCTTGTCAGTCATGTCTATGTATGGAATTAACTTAACATAAATATAGTTTAAACAATTCACAACACTTCTAATATAACTATAGTCCGCCCACTTCGAATGGAATTTTTCCCAATACACTTAGTTTACTATACTCATAAAATAACAGTCACTTTATTATGGCTTGGCTAGACAAAACCATAGTAATCATAGTATTCCATGAAAACTTTTAAAAGACAATGAATGTTATCTAAACACAGGTATAGATTAGCAAAATAAAATAGTAGCATTCAGCCTAATGATTTTGCAGTGAATAAATTTAACAAAGAATTGCGTTGCTTTATTTGATAATAGGTACAATGCCCTTTATAAAAAAGATAGGCGTTGGTGGTATTGTACAATCTTTAATTCATGAATCATTGTTCCTACATGTTAGAAGTTTGTTAGAACATTTTACTTACCCAACAAAGGTCTTCTAGGGTCGTCAGCATCCATGTTGCCTTCGTTACGACATCTCTAAGCACGTGATACTCTCAAGTTCATGTCATTTGAATAATCTTATCAATTAATGATAGAATTACATTATTTTGTTATTGTTTACAATTTGATTCCATTCTTCGACAGTGTTTTGACGAATTTGACGTTTGTCAATGTCAATTTGTTTGTTGTCACTTAGGTTGACACTGACAGAATTAACGTTTGGATTCTAACATCGATACGAGTGTTTGAAAATAAAATTATTCAAAACTTCAATTTCACTATGTAAATTAAATGTAGATGATAGTTTTAGGCACAGCAATTTAGTGTATGTTGACTCGTCTTGCTTCAATAATGAAAGATATTAAACGAAATTAAGAATGACAACACGAGTTACCAAAACGAGAAAGTTTCAATTAATCACTATGAAGAAGGACTTACAATAATATTTTGCTAATTAGACAATTATTAGCTGCCAAATCTTACAATTACAATCATACAACTTAATAACAACATAGTAACCAAGAACAATATGTATGTGTAGGTATTTATTTTTCAGCCACAACTTCAGCTCTTTGTGGAAACATACACAACTGATGTGACCTTAGAAATGATAACAGATCAGAAATGGGTAATTTGCTGAATTATATCAATAAATGATAGTTAACAATCAAAATATATATTATACATGTCTTGATCCGAAATTGGGTTGTGCGTAGGGCTTGAATTCTAGTCCCAGCTGTAGATAACACAGGGTCATGTCACATTCTACTGACTTTAACTGGTGTTGTTACCACGTACTTATAGATTAAGTTAATATCGTACTATAATTAAACGTAGCCGACTAGTCGATTAAAAAATTAAAATAGAATAGCGTAGTGTAGTAAAGCGCCTGGTATTTTTACCTACGCAATCCGCATAAATGCGCAGTTATGCTAAGTTTTATCTTATAGGAACTATTTGTAGTAGGTCTGTATAGCAGACAGTATGGATCGTAAACCAAGCAGGAAGCACGCTCCTCTGTGAATTTAGTACTCTTTTAATGATTTACTTGATCCTGGAATCGAACCCGTGACTCACTCGATGCAAATGGCAGCCAATTTCATTATCCACTTAAAATTTTTCACTAAATTACTATTTTCAACGAGTAATTTCGCCAAGAGCCAAACACTTAAAACCATAATACTAACAGCATAAGTTCTCAGGTTTTGTTAACAAAATAAAATATAGGTAATTTCAATAAAATATATAAAAAATAATATTCATTTCCCATATCAATACTTCTAGTTACTAGGTAGGTAGTCACGATTACGGCACGTTTTCTCATAGAAACGATAAAGTGAAGAGTAAACGATGAGCAATTGTTTTAATTATAATTATAACTAGAGACATAACAAAGATTAAAAGCGCGAGACGAAGTTTACATTGTGACGGATAATAATTAGGTACTAATTAATTAATTGATAAACTTTTTCGTTCATTTTCGAGAATATGTAGGTTTAATTACTTATTGGTAGATAGTAGATCAATATATTAAAAAATTCCGGATCCATTTCGATCATCTGTCTAACTAGACTAGCTCACAACGCAGGAGATATGGTGCACAAGTGTGTTCGCAAACACAGGTGCACTCTGTTCCCTCATTCTCTGAACCCGATGGACTGAGGTCACGCGTATGACCAACGGCCTTACGTATTTTTTTATTCATATTTGATGGGTCGACATTTGACCACTATCTCGCCTGAGCACGTCGTCCCATAAGCAACCGATTCACTCGGGCCTTGAAGACACCCAGGTTATATTCTTCTGAAAATATAGACTGGCAAAGAATTTCACTCCTTAGCAGTACGCACAAGGAAGCTTTTAGCGAACCGCTTTGTGCGTGGTTGTACATTTACCATTAATCGGTGACGCCTCACCGATTGTCTTGAGGTACGATGATGGAAAGGACTAGGGAGAATCAAGTTGTGCAATCAATAACCATGCAGTCAATACATTATAGAGTGAATGAGAAGTTATAATTTTGCCCTGTAAAGTAGGTTAAAGGTAGATATGACTCAATATTACCTCTTATCGTAAAACTATAACATACAAACACACTTGTTTTTGTTATTTGACATAATTATTTTGTTTCGGAAAGTTCTATTTCCTTGAGATTGACCTAAATAATACAAGTAAAGGCTTGCTAACTAACGTAACTACCGTGGTAACTACCTACTTAAAATAGCATAAAATCCCATTTGCAAAGACTAAATTAGTGCTACGCAGATACTAGAGGAGCAGACTTGCGCTAGAACATCCTCAAAGTCAATACCTCATCGCGTTAATTGTATACTGTGACGATTATGAAATACGGTCACTTCGCTGACGTCACGAGTCATAATGTTCGATCAACACAAACAAAACATCTCCATCGGCCACTGTACGCCTGGTGCAAAGGTTCCGTGTGTTACATCAGACACACATGTAACCGAGGTGCATAACTAGCGGTGTATATGTGTTACACCGTCCCATCCCATACCATACAATGCCCCATTGTGGGAAGTAAAGCAATGGAAAACTACCTATTCTGTGTATTTAATTTCTTAATTCACATATGCTAATTTTAATATTACCTACTTACAATTTTAATATTATCTACTTACAGTATTACTTAGAGGTACAATTACTTGTACTTATATATTTTTTGCGATGTGTATTATGTTATTTATGTTCTACAGTGTATGCGAATCGTAACTTTTGTATAGTTTTCTTGAGATATTGATCTGCTCTGCACATCCTTTTCATAGCACTCTGATACAAATACGGATATATAGGTTGCTCCAATTATAAAACTGGTGTGTATGTTTATCATTGTCAACTATGAGATAATGGTAACTGGATGCAACAAGTCAACAACAGGGCGGAAACTGGAATTAATCAGTTTGGTTCGAGAAAGCCCTTGGTTATCTACTATTAGGTCATCTACAACTACAAGTATAATATATTACTGGTTATGTCTAAGCACAAATAAATACGAGGATTAATTTTATTATAAGCTTGAATTAGGCAGCCCTTTGACTATAGCAGTCTGTAAAGTCCGTCCACTAGAAAATCACCAAGTTACAGACAGAAACTAGTCCACGTAGAACACAAAATTCGCTGATGGGCTTATAAAGTAAGCTGGACTACATCTAAACCACGAATTACTCTATCATGCTTACTCAAAAATCAGTGTATTACCAAAAAGGCGGTGTAAATAACAAAAAACACCTATGAAAAGATTATTCGGCATACAAACAAATCAATATCAAGTTTTTATACGCTTGTTTTCAAATCATATTCTTTAAAATGTACTAGGAGTACAGGACTACCTGAATAGCTATGCATATAAAAAAATTGAGCGCAACAGCCCCTTTCTCGTCTATTTCTCCTGCAAGACATTTTCTATGTTGCATCAGTCGCTTGCGCCGGGCGTTACTAGGTGTAGTTTGCTCTAATCAAATTTCTACGATGTCGACAAAATACTACACCTCATTTCTACTGTTTACATTTCGATACGGTTATAGTGAATAAACAGTCAATCAGATTAGAACGTTCCATATGAAATTAGGTATTTTTAAAAACGTAATAGGTGCACATGGCTACACATCGAGCTTGACATAACCAGTATAAACTGAACGTTAAATGTGCGGAAAGATGATGCGACGCGACACCAGGGTAAACTGGTTATGTATAGATTGATGTGTGGCCGTGTGTACCTACTGATTTGTAATGAATTAAATTTTAAACAACGTTTGATACAATTGGATTTTTTTAGAGTAATAGACTTATAAATTATTTAAAGTATTATTATGGGTTATTCACTTATTCAGTTATTAGTAATCCTCCAATCAAAGAAAGACAATTTTTTTTAAAAAAAAAACGATGTCCCACACTAGGATTTTCTCCTGTGTCGTGGGTGCGTTTACAAACATACAAGTTCACATACACAATGACACCCAGACCCGAAACAACAATTTGTGGATCACACAAAGTGTTGTCCCGTGCAGGAATCAAACCCGCGACACGTTGCACGGCAGCCGGTTGCCCAGCCACCGCACCAACCGTGCAGTCATTTTTTTATTTTCTTTATTTTTATTTACTTACAATATTTACACACTCAAAATTAAACTATGTTGCCTTTAAAATTATTTACGTAGCATTAAACTGATTTACATTTAAAATCCCACCACAAAATCAACACGAGAAAATTGTAACCATTGTAGAACAAACCTAGACGACTCTAAGTTCAGATAGAGAAAACTATATTGTTTATATTGCTATCTCGTTCCCACCGGAAGGTGTCTATGCAAGGTACTTGGCTAGTTTCGTCAGACGGTACAGCTAGCCAGCCAGATCAGGTGGAGCCCTTACTACCCTTTATCAAGCAAAGACAGCAAGAAGAGTTGTATATTAGAGGTCAGGTGAGACTAGTTACCAGGCTAGCAGCAATATGTTAATGTAGGACAGCTTGATCTTAAGATTGCCAATAACTACGGGCGTTAAGACCTTTTACGAAATCTTCTCATGACTGATTTTAGGTATGTTATTAATGCCTAGATACTAAAATATTATCCTAAAAGGTAACAAATTAATAATGTAATCTCGGTAAATTAGGTAAGTAGTACCTCTATGTAATGGTACTTACCTCTTCGATCAACAATGATATTGTTGATCGAAGACTTACCTAGATGAATATCAGTTTGACGTCACGACTGAAAGAAATGGTAAGTTATAGGTACATACTTTCATAATTATGTACTTAGATACCTAGGTATACACCTATTTCCGTACTAGTAAATGTCTAGATAATATTTATTGCAATGATTAAAACAGGTTCACCCAATTAATTTCCATATCTACAGATATTTTTAAGTAATATATTTTACTAATAAGAACTTTTCTCTAATATTCTTTGATAGAAGCGTTCTATTGGCGTTTTACCGCGGCATGCGTGTGCGCAGACAGTAAATAAAACCGCATTGCGCATGCGTCTACCGCATTTGCTCACCAAACGTTGTCCAGTGCAGTCGTGATCTACACGCGTCACATAGTTATTTTCAGTTATACACAGTTTAGTGATTTTTTTTATTTTTTTAATTCGTCAGTGTTAGTTTTATAGAGAAAAAGGTAGGTTTAATATTTTTCCTATTCATAAATCCGCAGCATCTTTAATTCCTGATCTGCCTTTTATACATAATAGGTATAAGCACCAATACAAATTATAAATAAACTTTACAAAAGACATTTTATATAAAATGAAAACAATAAAAAAAATTATTCTCAACATTTTTGACAATTTAAGTTCACCAGAAGCTTTTATAGTCGGGTTATTAAATAAAAAAAAAATATTGTTAAATAAGTTCGGTCTCACTTCGGCTCATCCCGCCAAGCTAAATAAGCGTGATATTAAAATGTGTCGACTGTAATGCTTAGTGGTGGGCTATACAAGGTCGTTTGACCCGGCGATCATAACGCGGGAAAGTCGGACACATTGCGGATACCCTCTTATCGATGACACCCGCGAATATAGGTACTTAATCGATATGGTGCCAAGGTAGATACTACCTACATACATTGTAAAAACATACAGATGAAAATAGGGTCCAATTAATTTAGAACGACCTCCTTTTTCTGAAGTCGGTTAAAAAATACAAACTTGACGAGAGTTCGTTACTGTAATACTGCCTCCTTGGCCGAATGGTCACAAGTGTGACTGCCGAAAAGGAGTCTCGTGTTCGATTCCGGGGTCGGGCAATGTACTACTGTGTTTTTAAAAAAAAACTCAGTAGTAGCACGGTGTCTGGATATGTGGCCGGTATATGGCAATGGGCTCACCCCTTATTACACGGGACTCATAACATAAATAGTAAAAATTGGGTGATGCAATGTACAGTTGCATAATGTGTACCTCTGCCTAACCCTTCGGGGATAAAACGCGTGATGTTATGTGTTACAATTAAACCTATAGAATTTTTATTTAATAATGTCATACGGTGACCCTATTCCTTAATTTGCCAATAATTGTAAATTGTAGATTAAAACTAGACATGAGCGTCAGTTTCAGCTCAGATAATTATTATAATTAAGTGTCATTATTGCGAAAACTATACTTGGGGAAAAAATTAAACATAATGGCTGAGTTACAGCCGTATTTTTAATAATATATGTAAGTAGATAATTACGTTACCTGGCTCTTGTCTAAAACTATGTACATAGATAGAAGGGTTCATGGATCAGAAGGTCGCACTTATATCTTGTGTTACTCATTGAGGAGATTTTAGAAAATTCTATACTGCATCCTACCAAATTCATTAATTGTTTAGTAAACATAACATAACATAACATCACGCCTTTTATCCCCGAAAGTTAGGCAGAGGTGCACATTATGCCACTGTACAATGTAACACCCACTTTTCTCTATTTATGTTATGAGTCCCATGTAATAGGGGGTAAGCCTATTGCCATATACCTACCGGGCAGAATTCCAAACTCTGTGCTACTACTGAGATTTTTTTAAAACCCAGTAATACTTTGCCCGACCCGGGAATCGAACCCGAGACCCCTTGCCCGACAGTCGCACTTGCGACCACTCAGCCAACGAGGCAGTCGGAGCAGAACAGAGTTGTTTAGTAATACATCTACCGAATACAGTAGTGTACTATCTAACATATTTCTTCTTTATCATAGTCCCAGTAAATATTAATTGGGTGCATAACATTCACATCTAGAGAAAGAGGTCATTATAATATCTATGTTGCATAATGTGATAGTGCAGTATGTGACCAGGGCTACATAAGTCCTAAGAATATAAATAATTACAAGGTATCGTGACTCTTTCTAATGAAAAGCTTTATCATTAAATATAAGTGTGGGAGAGCCAAGCTACGGCACGAATGGGCCGGCTCGACCGGAGTGATACCACGGCCCCACAGAAAACCGACGTGAAGCAACGCTGGCGTTGTGTTTTGTCATGTGAGTGAGGTTACCTGAGGCCCAATTACCCTCACCCTTCCCCAATCTCCCCGATTCCTGCTCGTTCTTCTCCATAGGAATCTACACTTTGGAACGAGCAAGTAGCTTCACTAGAGGACTGACCTACAGACTGACATTTTTTCTTATTATTTAATATTTAAATATTTTGTTTTGACGTACAAAAGTGCCTTCCTGGTCTTATTGAATTATAATGATTTTGACTTTGACTTTTGACTTTGACCTGAATCCCCAACGATCCTCAAACTCTCAATACCCAAAAGGCCGGTAACGCACTTGTAACGCCTCTGGTGTTCCAGGTGTCTATGGGCGACGCCGATTGCTTACTATCAGGTGATCCGTCTGCTCGTTTACCGGCTTATGCTATAAAAAAAGTGGTGAAAATATAGACGTAGACTTAATCAAATTAAAATGAGCAATTGTGATTAACTATCCATCGGCCAAACCAAATTCTTTGTTACAAATGATTATAGATACAGGTAGTTGTTATAATTGACGGAAGCTTAACCTACTACCTAGACTAGACTAGACTAGACTGCTAATCTCTATTGGGTTATTAACGCCAAATGGGGTCACCGGTGACCGACGTTACAGCAAGTTTTTTATTGACAGTCAAACAAATAAAAACCCTTAATTTTTCAAAAGTAAGTGTCTAATCGATTATTCCTTCGTCTAAATCAACTTAATAGTCCCTAAACTTTAACGTAAAATATATCTATAATAATTAACCTATTCATTGAATCTAAGTACGTACCTAATGATAGATAATACGGCGATTGCTAACCGGTCATTGACTCGTTGCACGATTCCAGCTTACCGCGTGAACGGCAACTGACTTTTAGCCTTTAGGTCCTAGATAACAACTTGCGAAATATACCGAAGAAACTTGATTAATTTTGTAAACGTAAGAACCTTTTCAATTTAAAATTAATAAGTACCTAAGTAGGAAGGATGGGAAAGAAGAGGCCGACTAACTAAATATAAGTAGATAGATTGTGTGGATTGTTAATAATGGCATGAAAGAGAAAGTCGTTTGTGTTAGTATAGACCCTATCCTAACACTAAAACAAGCCCGGCACAACCTCCCAAAACCGCTGAAAATTCTGTAAGCCAGAATCTACAGTAGATACAACCATAAAAACACCGGAACACTGAAGTCCGGCGCGTCCCAGGGACATGAATTGTCTTGGTTCCCGCAACGAAGTGAATCAGATGATATTATACGAGGAGAAGAAAAAAAAACTATAGTTTCCACTTCCCTCGGTAAATTACTGCAGGAGACAGAATGAATTCAGCCTAAAGGCACAAGAAGAGACTGTACAACTGGGTGAAGCTCAGTCGCCAAGCACCACAGAAATTTGACTAAAAACTAAGTGGGTCCTATGTGTGAGCTTTTATACTTGCTTCCAATAATAGGTATGGCAAAAGCGCCTTTAAATGCACGGAAATTTGTTCTAGATTCCACAAGGTCCGTATAATAAGCTACACCTGACGAAACAATTTAATTATTTAACATAGTGTTATCCTAAAACTAGTATAGTTATTCTATCTGATAGCCAGATACTCCGATAGGAGTGAAAGGATATACATGGTGTATATAGGATATACACGCTTCCGAAAACCGCTGACGGGTGATAGTAAAAAACAACAACAAGTATATTTTCATAAAAGTAAAGAATTAAAGAAGAGTTGAATCAACTGCTCAAGGCTGATGTTGCATGGATAACACGGAACAAAAACTATTAAAATGGTTAATACAATTATTTTTATCTACGTTTCGGTAGCGTCCCGACACCGAGCTTTACCCCAAACTGTAAAGCTAGAAACTTTCTACCCTTATTAAGAAAGAAAATATAAAGAAAAATAAGTAGTTAGGGTAGGGAATTACGTTTATAAACAACAACAAGGCTATGTAAACTTACCTAAGGCAGTTATCAGTAAACAGATGCAAGTCAATCCAGTTCAAATCGCTCCTTATCTAAACTACACTTAATTCTAAACTTTAGCCCTAACATTGAAATTGTACTACTTACTACAAATAATTGCAAGATTGTTGTATTAATGAACTAAACAAGTGACGTTATCTCATCTCGTATATCATCAGGCTGGCAGTGATCCAGATCTAGTAGGGATCGATGCCAAGATATCGATTCGATAACGGAAATCGAATAAATAATCGGTAGAGTATTATACTTTCGTCAAGTTGAAGGTTGTTACAATAGTGCTCGTATGTGATTTTTTTGCTATCAGTGAGAGCTTTACGTAAGTCGGTTTGTGGGTATGTATGTATTTATCATCTACATACTTCCATAATAATTATAAATTATTTATTGTCGCATACTCAAGTATCCAGTAGGTATATCAATTAATTCAGTGACGTAATCAATGTCAATGCTATGGAATATTATGGTCTTATAATGTTTACATTATCTTTCCATAGTAAACAACGAGTTGTATCAGTAAAGCCATTATTTTGCACTTGCTCGATAGTCGATACACAGACCTTACAATATTAATGACTTCCTGCGCTCCTTTTTACGAAATGCAGTTTCTTCAACATCGGAAGCTGTTTGTTCCATAAATATTACAATACCAATGTCAGCCAATGTGAATTAAAAGGTAGTACTGATGGTTATTCTGTGATATTGGTTCCGAACGGCCACCTGAAGTTCAGTCAGCAAACATTTTTTGTAAACAAAGAATTATTTTAAAAAATAAGCAATTTAGATAGATCAGATACATCAGATAGATAGACCCGATTTTTATTACCCGAAGACAATAAAGTCATTTTCACTCTCATTAAAATAGAAGAACTTAAGTTCCCTACCGGGCATTCTATCTTCACTTTCTTTGCTTTGTTCAGAATGGTTCGTGTATGCGTTATTGGAGCTGGTGCAGCGGGATTGTGCGCTGCCCGCCACCTCCTAGTAGAACCATGTGTCAACCAGCTGGATATCCTGGAACAAGCTCCTCAACTCGGCGGTACCTGGGTTTACACTGAGAATGTGGGATATGACGACTTTGGACTTCCAATTCACACCAGCATGTATAAAAGTTTAAGGTACCATGAGTTTAAAATTTCTACGCATAGCCTTCTTATTTTTAATTTTTATTAAGAATATTGCCCAAAACAAAATGAATTAACTAATAGATACGTGTATGTTTATTATTCTATCGGTATTTATTTATTTATCCTCCTTCAAAGCTGCCATAGCAACATCAGCTTACGACACGTTCATATCGAGGGTCGTAGGCTATCAGGACAACATGAGTAACTGGAAGATATTTATGTGCCTTTCGTACATTCTAGAAATGAGTGATTAGAAATATGATTAGGTTTATGTGTTCTATTTTCTATTATCATAGAGTTTATTTATTTGTGGGTGTTCCTATATCATCATCATATAATAAACGCTCATTTTCCTTACAATATAATCTGAAAATAGCACTGTCCAGAATGACCAAATCTTTAAATAATTTGTTTCTTTGGAAAAGTGTTTTGGTAGATTGTCTATGTAATTGTTTAGTTATGTACCACGATTTGCGAATGTTATGCTATCGTATTCACCTCCAACATAACACAAGTTAAATGTTTACTTCTATACGTCCGTTTGCTATTCTAGACTAAAACATACCGTTCCGTAAATATTCGCACTTATCAAAACTAACAATTGCACGTGGTTCAAGGTAGCGACGTCTAGCGTTGTTTGTGTCATAATAATTAACTTTTAATTGAAGCATTTACTAAGATAATAAATATGTTATTACGACAAACAAACAGGGGTCAATAGTAGTGAAGAAATAATATGAGATGAGACCATTATTGTAAACAGTTTGATAAATAAAAGCAATTTATTGATCCGCTGTGTACCTGAATCTTTATCTCCTTGATGTTCATGAAATCTTAGTACTTACAACTACCTACTACTGGTTACTCTGTGCTACTGTACTTAATTGTACCTAAAAATTACAAAGATGTAAAGAATCTACTTTATTTCTCTTTTACAGGACAAACCTTCCTAAAGAAATTATGGGTTTCCCGGACTTCCCAGTTCCGGAAAGTGACAAGTCTTACCTGCCCGCTAAGGACATGCTGGCATTCCTCAAATTATACGCAGACAAACATGGCGTTACGGATAAAATCAAGGTAAACATAACGCGTTGTGTTTTTTAACTCGTATAGAACTGCCCACTTATTTATTGTTGTTTTTGTAATCATCGCTACACTATTTATATTATAACTGTCGGGAGACATACTAAATTAATTATTTTGTTTTTCGGCTTACTTACGTAATTATTTGACGAGGAACTCTACTCATTTCAAGCCATGCTAGAGACTCATATTCTGTTGCGGCGCTGCGACGCGGTGACTCTCGCCCTGCTACTCTAGCATAAATATAATAGCAATAATAAAGGACGCGAGTAAGCTGAAAACACAATAATTATTTTTTTACTAAACTATTAAAAATACAATAATAATTTATGTCCTTACATTAGTTTCATCATCACTGATTGGATATCAGAATATCTGTCTTCTAAGTCAACAAAATACCAAAATCAGGACAAAAAGTTAAACGCATTGATATCAAACAAACAAAATTATTCACGAAAATGATTTTAACTAGTCGGTGTGTCTAATATGCGGATCCACGCGAGATAATGTATTTTCTGTTGTGTCCCATATCGGTGCATTCAAGAGGTTAAAGTAACTCTGTTTCCTATTACAGTTCCGCCACCACGTGCAGTTGGTGATACCAAAACAAACTCCTTCGGGAGAGCTGTGGGATGTCACTTACAAGAACCTGACCAATGGAGCCATAGAGACCAAGGAGTACGACTACATTTTCGTTTGCAATGGACATTATAATACGCCGTTTATACCACATATACCAGGACTTAAAGAATTCAAAGGTCAGCTTCTTATTTTACCTTAACAAATTGATTAAATTGAAAATCAATCATCCCAACTTAGGTAAAGGCAAATGAGCTATAAAATAGATCTAGAAATCCCCCATCTCTTTAAAATCTAATCATTTGCTCAGGTGACGTGATGCACAGCCACGACTATCGAGTGCCAGACATCTTCGCTGACAAACGGGTCCTAGTCATCGGCGCTGGTCCATCAGGTATGGACATCGCCCTAGAACTGACGACTGTATCAAAGAAAGTAATCCTGAGTCACCACTTGAAGGAACAACCTCGCACTGAGTTTCCTGATAATTTGCAACAGAAACCTGATGTGGAACGCCTTGAAGGGGATAAGGTGTACTTCCTCGATGGCAGCGAAGATGAAGTTGATGTCGTTTTCTTATGTACCGGTATGTAGTTTATGGCTATAAGAATATTACCTATAATGGGATCTAAGGTTTAGGAATCAAGATCTGTCTTTTATTATTTTTTATTTGTCGCTAAGAAATACACGCCTAAACGTTGTATTTACATACCTCTAAAACTTTAGGCGCAAGATTTGATTGCTTATAAATGATTATTGATCTTAACAATAACAGTTTATGGTCGTGTTTAGAAAGCTAAATCTTGTAAACTGCTCTATTCCCAAGGTTACATGTACAACTTCCCGTTCCTCCACGAATCCTGCGACATCGTGGTGGAAGAGAACTGTGTGGAGCCCCTGTACAAGCATGTGGTCAACATGAAACACCCCAGCATGTGCTTCATCGGTGTCCCCTACTATGTGTGCGCCTTCTCCATGTTCGATTTACAGGTAAATTACTACTCCCTCAAAATTGGCATTACCCTAATTATAACATTATCAATAACAGTTGCTTATCCCTGTTTGACACAGTATGTGGCATACTGTATCAATACTGTATTGAATACGATACATGGCTTGAACAGATTGATAGCTAGATTAGTAGATAGAATCTTAAAATCGAATCTATGTACCTAGATTGTCGTTAAGCCATCGAGTCGACGTTTTGTGATCAACATCACAGTAGCAACACCAAAATGCCTAAACTAGGTTGGTACATCTATACTAACTTGGTAAGATTTTCACAAATATTGAGGGAAAATACTATTTCCCCAGGTCCGGTACTACGTCCGCTCAATGAATGGCACCTTCAGTCTACCTACTCCTGAACAGATGGCTGAACATTGGGAGGAGGAGAAACGGGACCGAGCTGCGAGGGGCTTCACCAGACGACAGGCGCATATGATGGGACCTGACCAGGTAATCACAATAAAACATTCATTTATCTAAGTATCTACATGAGCTTAATAATAGGCCTTCTTGGAGAAACAGGGACTTTAAAAGTATTAATGTTATGTAGGGTTTATGCACGTCATGAGCGTAAATTGGAAGTATCTATGTATAAGTGACAAGGAGTAACATAATGTAACTGATTTACAAACAATAAACAACATAGTGCAAAGTAGCGCGGTTTGTTGCACTTGCCTACACCAGGATCACTAGGGTGAGCAGGTCTCTTCAGAGGACCCGGTGCCCCTTACAGGTGCTGAGGGTGGCCACCGGGGTGACTTTAGTGAGGTAAGAATCCCACACTCCCTCCTAGTCTTTCTCCCCAAAAAGCTAGGCGCCTTTTGAAAGTTTCCCCAAGACATCAAAAAAAAAAATGATTACTAGCGTACCAGGAGTCAGTAAAAGTAAAATGCTAACGAAAGGTCATAATCGGTAGGACGCATTTATTTATTCAGAATACAACAGGCAATTTGTATTGTAGCGTATTTATAAGAGGCATTAGCGAAGGTCCATTATTCAATTCTATTATCATGTGTGGTTACACGTTACATCTAGGCTGAGTACTACGTGTCCCTGGCAGAGGAGTCCGGCACGGTCCCTCTGCCGCCAGTCTTCACGAAGGTACACAATGACAGCAGCCAGAAATTCCTCGATAATCTCACCAACTATAGGAACGATGTGTACTGCATCTTGGACGACGATCATTTCATTTGTTATTAAGAGAACTTTTATATAAGCCATATTTTATTTTATAATTGCTTCTTTCAGTAGAGAGTACAATATTATAAACTGCTTGAACATTTTTTACTTTATCTTTAATTGATTATAATGTAATTTAGTTTACATATTTTACTTACTAGTAGTTATTATATACCTATTTAACTTAACCTAGCTTTACATAGGCATAATCCTTAAAATATAATCTAGGTTTTCTACTAAATCTGAGATTTAATGCAATAAATGTGTACAGGATATCTTTGTTTCCTTTTAATATTTAAAAGGTTGGCAATACAGGTTACTTACTTACTATTTATCACTATGTGTTACGCTTAAATCTTTACTATGTAGGTACATAGCTTATTGAATATTAAAAATATTACACTCCTTATGAGAAAAATCCACATAGTACTACTTCTTATCTTTCGGTCTCTGTTCTCCTTGTGAATCATAGAATATTACAGAACATGATCTTACGTTTTATTGCTAATCGAAATTTCTACAGCTAAAAAACTTATACACATTTTTAAATATAGGAAAGTCATTTATTTTTATTTTGTGGTATTTGCTCTGTACTTGTTTAAGTTCTTTTCTTTCTTTACTTACGTCGAGCAAGCGTTAGGAATAAGGAAATATCTTTCATGTGTGTATTATGGATATTTAGTTTCGAACTTGTTGATTGAACTCCTACGCAATATGGAAGCCTAGTACGTGCAATCTAAACTTGTAAAGTAATATGACATAGTTCGTTGTTCAGAAATCAAAATCTAATTTATGTGCGTGTGTCCTAATTAGTAACAACCTAGGTTCTTTAAGGATGTATGAATGTCCAACGATATAATTAGGTAATTCTACTATTAAAACAATGGTCTTGCTTTCTGTAGTTACACTTTTTACTTACTTTTCTTCCTTGCGTACTTTCCGGCTACCGATTGCCTTTACACCTTTTTCAGATAAACTGTAGTGAGGCCAGAAGGAATTATATGGACATGATGTTTACCATATTAAACATGAATCTAGCATAGATTTAATCCACATTGCCTATTAAGTGGATAATCTATATTAAAATTACTCCCCTCCCCAATCTCCCCCATCCCCGAATCTTATTTCCCAAAAGGCTGGTAACGCATTTGTAACGCCCCTGGAGTTTCGGATATCCATGGGCGGCGCAAATTGCTTACCATCAAGTGATCCGTCTGCTCGTTCACCGGCTTATCCCATAAAAAAGGCTATCAATATTCAGATCGTCTTAAATCTATCTAAGCAAGTCGGTTGCATTTTTTACTAATACTTACATTCGTTCGATTATTTTACTGGTCTCAAATTACCTATAGGTAGATAGATTATAATGGTGTCCTAGTCTTTAACCATGAGTACCTAAGTAAATAAGCAAATTGTTATTTATTTCACAAACATCATCACACTATAATTTAAATTAAACATTTATATAATTACGGAATACCACGAATTAAATGAATTAACTACACACTCACCTAATTAATACGAAAGGGATTAATTCTACGTCATTATTCCAATAAAAAACAAAAGAAATAATATTTTATTTTTCATAAACACTGCAATCACTTATATACAAATACCAGGAGTTCATAAACCGCAAGCGATTGTAGAATGTCGAACTCGAATCCAATGAACTAAATAACTGTAGTACGCGCGGCACGTCTTGATACAATCGTCGCTTGTTTGGCACTACCGACTGACTGGCTTGCATTCACTTCAAAGTTTGACCGGTATACAGTTGCACTTTAGTTCAGCCTAGTGGAGGTTATCGAATGTTTGCCTTGGCTCGATCGTTTATTGTTTTTATTTATCGTTACGTCTTCCTCACTGCAATCAAAACAAGGATGAATGTTTAACTTACCAACTTTACCCATTATTTCCTGAATAACCAATGTTTGTTATTGCATATTTCCTGTTGCATTGTATTTTGACTCTTACGAGTACTTATATAAAAAATATAATAGGTATTTGATATTACTATGTTTTATCTCTCTCTTTCTCTGATTTAATTTTGCAGCCTTACCAACCTTGACCAATGTAGTCCTTACTGTCTAATAATCATTATAAATAATTTGTAATTATTGTTTCAGGAAAAATACTACGCATCATTAGCTGATGAAGCGAAGACGAAGACTCTGCCTTCGGTGGTGACGAAAATTCGTGACGAGAGTATGATTAGGTTCTTCCACAACCTTAAGAATTACAGGCAAGATAAATACAAGATTATTGACGATGGCACTTACGAGATTATAAGTAATGGGAAACGAGAAGTTATTTGTTGAGCCTAAAAAAAATCAAATCGACATTAGATTATAAGATTAATGTCCAAATACTCAAACGCCACTCAATTGTAAGTTGACCTTAGTTCTGTCACTACAAATTCTTTATAAAATGACAGAGATGGCACGATATTTAAGTAAAACTTATAATTGAGTAGCCTTTCAGTATTCGGGCGTAACAGATTGCTCAATATGTACTTATTTGCTCAGAAACCTGTCTAAAGCTACCAGGATGCCAGGCGTTTACTTAATTTATTTTAATAAGATTCAAAGAGATACATTGTATTAACAGCTGTTGTACTTTCATCAAATAAATTCTAGTTCGTTTTAAGTATGTCGTGCAGTTTCAATAAAACAACGAATTCAGCCAAAAATATTTTATTTAAGCGTATTTATAATCTTTATATTATCAATGCTGATATATTATTAATCTTTAACTCTAATATTTTTATGGCTTTCCCCATTCTATTACAGACTAAGATTGATGATATAATTCATAAAATCTATAACAGTCTCACATTGTTATATGCAATTCCAATTCGTTCATTTATTGCTTCAAGGCTGTTATAAGTTTTAATGAATTAAACCATAGTGTTAATATACGTACACCGGGCCGAGCCAAATATCTTTCATCAACAAGTTTGTACTTATTGTAATAATAACTTCGCTTCACATACATTAAAATTTAAAAATAAAAATGTTACTTTTACGTTTAATATAAAAATACCATTTTCAATATTGTTACCGAAATTCGCACTTTTGTTTCTCTAATATATTTGTCTCAATTTTTGTCACCAATATATGTTTTTGTCGGTATGCAAAATTATAATGAAATTAACTTCGAGCTTACAACATAACTATTCCTAAACTTATTTATACATTAACAAAAAGTAAGACTCACGCCAAATCATGTAAAAAGTTTATTTAATCAAAAAGTTGAAGACTTGATGATTACAATCCGACCGCCTTGCACTAGATCACTGGCCACTTCCCCGATAGACTCCATCTCTTTGATGTTGGATTCACTGGTTAGTACTAGTACAGTAATACTTCATAACATTGCGTTACGCTTAGGCTGAATCAACATTTTCTTATAAATCTCATTGGCCAATCCGTACAAAACCTACCCTACAGTCCTACCCTTGGTCGACCTACCTACATCCCTGTCTTTTCAGTCCCTTACACATCAAGATATGAATAAAAGGATCCAAAGCAGGGCTCAACCATACCCTGTCGAAATAATATAGTTATAATACTAATTAAAAATATATAAAAAGTAGATATTACAGTAAAATGGCAACGTTTAGGAGCATAAGCAGATGAAATGAAAATTCAGAACGAACGAATCGTAAAGTTACACATACCAACTAGTTCCAAACTTACTTATATACAATCTTAACTACTACGGCGAAACGTAAACGAGTAGCATCAAGCGTCTAGCACCATTTCGATATAAAAGTATACTTCAATCAACATAAAATTATCAACCAAGAATAATATAAAAATCATCGATAAAACAATATAACAAACAGCTCCAAGAACCTTAATTAAGACAATACATATTTCCATTTATTTCTCCGAAAGTAATCAAAACAAGACTAATTTAAATCACTGGTAAATTTTGAATAAAGGGGACTAGCTGAAAAAGTATTGCATTTTATGATAATAGACATTTATACCAAGGAAAACTACGTATACATAAAATCTAATCGAATAATATACATGAAAAATACATCTATACACTGAGATTACAGCGTTACACGTATAAAAAATAAAATCACATGTCATCACCATCGGTCGCGTCACACTCGACACTCGACCAGTAGTCCACACAGATCAACAACACGCCTCACTAACTCGGCCCACGCACCAGACAAGTCAACATTCCAAATGGATACCACTAAATATAACGTAACGAGGGTAACTTTTAAGATAATTCGAGTTTTATTACGTCAATATAAGTCGTCTCCTAAGGACGGGTGAATGTGAAAAATTGCCACAATTTGAGCCTCAAAAATCTACTTGTACTTTAAGACCTGTATTATAGGTGAATCTCCAAGCTACGATCAGTTTAATGGAAGAAACATATTATTATTGCAAAAATCTATTTTAAACACGCTAACACCGAGATAGACAAAATTGTGTACTTTTAAATTACGGCGTCACGACACTGTGACTGTACTGCGACTTTAGAAAATAAAAATTATTAAACGATCAAGATCGTTATTGCACTCTATAAAATTAAATCTGCAATTTTTGTTTCATTTTCTTCTCAACTCGACACAATGACATTGATGTCAAAGTAACAGGCTAACAGTTCCGTTTAGGAGGTCGTTTTGTTTGCGAACGGTATGTCTGGTTCCATTCGCAAAGTTTGCGGTGTTGGGTCGTAGTTCCCGGCGAGGTAGTACACGTCATTGTTGTCGTATACGGTGCTGTACTTGACCGGGTCGTCGCCCATGCGCTCCTTGTACTGCGACAGAGGCAGTACCTCGCACTTGTGAGATATCGTTTGGACGTCATTTTCGTCCGTGTGTGGAGATTCAAACAACCCTCCCTGAAGGTAAGAAAAGAAAGTATAATATAAACGAAGTAAGAAGTCAATCTAAATGATAGCGCTGTATTGTAAATTTAATGATGGCACAAAGAATTCTAAATAAGCAAGTTACCGGGTAGTGCAGCTGGTCAGTGCAGCCGACAGTTTCCTCAGGATGGTAGAACCACTTGACGCGCACAGCCATGGCACCGCGCGCCTCCCACAGCGCCACAATGCGCCCGATGTACGGCCGGTCCGGCCGGCCCGTAGACAGGAACACTGCCGCGTCACCCACCTAAAATTGATTAACGATTTTGTTTAGTGACGAATTATCCGAAAGTAACTAATAAACATTAGGTGGTTTTATTTCTTTTCATTAAAAAAATAATAGCACTAAGTTTTTAATCAAGTACTGCAAATTACTCACATGCAGGATTTCTTCTCCTCGCTGTATAGCGCGATAGAATAGCTTGCGGTGTCGCGGGCGTGCAGTGCGGCGGTAGGCAGGTCCGTGCCAGCGCCACAGTGCGCCGCCAGGCAAGAAGGCGGCCATCTTGCTGACACCGCCGCAACCGCCGTCTGATGACGTCGACGACACCGTGCGACGCTTCGCCTTCTAAAGACATTAAGTAATGTCAGCCAAGAACACAATGCAACGAGGATGAACGTGTGAATATCGTAAGGATATCAATTACAGTACAGTATAGTCAATCACACCTACCTTTTTAGCATCACTGGTGGAAGCAGTACTGGTTTCTTCTTCCAATCCTATGCCACTATCCTTCAGATTATCTTTACTCTCCTCTTCTTTCTTCAGAGTAAGTTTGCCCAAATTGCTAAAGTCCAAAACTGCGGTTTTGACCAAACTTTTCTTTGACAACACCGCCTTCTTTATCACAGTTTTCATCTTATCCTCTGGCGACTTTTCCACTGCTATTAGTGTGGATAGTCTGTCATTAGAGTCTATTGAGTCTTCATTAGATTTGTTCGAGTCGATGTAGTCTGAAGACGATTTAACTCTTTGTTGATCATCACCAGATGAACTAGAATGTTCTTTGCAGCTCGAGTGATGTCTCTTTCGGTGTTTTCTGTGGTGTTTCTTGTGATGTCTCCTGTGCTTGCAATGTTCCTCGCAACATTTGTGTTTCTTCTTTTTCTTCTTAACGTATTCCACTGAATTCGGATCATCTTCACTGGAATGGCGCTTTATTTTGTCTTTTCGATGCTTCTTAAGTTTCTTTCTGTCTTTATGCCTGTCCTCATCGTCCTTAGGGCTGACGACGACTGGCTCTGTTACTGGTGGTTTACCTTCAATACTTGTGCTGGATGTAGCTGGTTGCGGTGGAACCGAGGAAACTTTCTTTTCTTCTGTACTAACACCACTAACACTGGTGTTTCTTCTTCTTTTACCAAGTGTGAATAATGGATTTTCATATTCTGCAAAATAAAAAAGTAAGGAATTAAAACATATACATATGTAGATTAACTTCTCTGAAAAGTAGTGTAAATAAATATCTGATAAACGTTATTTACAGAATTTTATATACTAACCAACAACAGGATAATTTGGTTCCAAGAACCTGATATCCTCGATAGCTATCCTGCCAGAGTCGCCGTCGTCGAACTCCACGGCAACGAACTTATCATCATGAGGGTCTGGAGACGAGACCGCCACGGTACCTGGGTAGAGGCACCTGTACTGCTGCGACCAATATGCGCACACTCGAGTACCAGACGGCAGTTCTGTTACTGACGTAGGGCTGACTTCCAAGATCTGAAATTTACAAATAATTGGTATTTATATTGTATTTTCTTTTTACAACAATAGTGAAGTACTTTATATATATCAAGAACTTACAGCATCCCTCAACGTTTCTTCTCTGGACATTATATGAGGCTTATTCCCTCTTTCTCCATCAAGAGTGATGGCATACACATCAGGTGCAGTCACAGCACTCAGTTTCCCTGCATAACAGTCCTCCCATGGCAGTAAGCACTCGAGGAGACTGGTCTATCTTGTCTTCTGTCAATGTGCACTTTGATATCGGCGGTGGTACCACCGGCTCTGTAGGCGTTTCTTTAGTTTCATTACCAGTTCTCTCCTTTGACTTGTGACTCTTTCGTCTCTTTTTCGCACGTCGTCTCTCTTTGTCACTATCACTCGAAGCACTGGCACGTCTTAACGCGAATTCGAGTTCGGGTATGTCATCTCTCGAATGTTTTCGAGCCAGTCTGTCTACTTTCTCTCTATTCTTTTGTCTGACTTCGTTAAGACTCTCCATAGAAGAACTCGCTGATCTGTTGAGAGCCCACTCGGCTTCCTCTGGATCTGAACATGATTTCATAATAGGTTCAGCTTTCAACTTAGGACGCACTTTACTTGTTCGGTTGATATCTTCCCTAGAAGGTTCTCCCCTTGTGCATAATATACCACCTTTTAGCTTGCCCTTTGCCAAAAGGTAGCCTACTAAACTACTTTTCGATTTTGGCTTCTTTGCTACTATAGTCTCGGTCGAGTCTGGACTGGAGACCTTACGGGGTCTTCCAACTTTACGTTTCTTAGATGAACCTCTATCTGAATCGGGGGATAATGCCGGAGTTGACGGCGTTGTGGACGTAGATAGCGTCTGTAATGGCGGGTCTAACGCCTTTAATTGTGCTTTCCTCTCATCGAATTGTCTCTCCAGTGCTAACAGTCTCTCACGCATGTCTTTTTCTATCGCACTGGCGAGTGCATGAGCTGAACGAACGTTAGTGTTATGCGTACATGAGACAGAGTTACAAGAACACGCTGTTACTCTCCTTAGGCTTGTCTCTAGTTCCCCTCCACTACTTCTGCTCTCGTCTCGTTCCCTTTCTCGTTTGTGTCGACGCATTTTTTCAAGTTTATGACGTAACCTTTCTTCTCTATCGCGACTTCTTATTTTCCTCCTTTCGCCACTAGAGTCATCCCTATGTCTATGTCTGTCTTTTTTATTGTTAGACGAGTCTGCGGAACGACTTCTGTCGGTGGGACTTAATAACGGTTCACTTTTGATAAAAGGACGGGATGCAATTGGTATGCTTTGAGGAGGATTTTCCACCACTTCTTCCATAAACCTTTGTTCTGCTAGAGCACATAACAATCCCAAACCATCCAGGGAAGGTTTTGTCTGTTCACTAGTAGATGGGTCTGTAGGAGGAAACTCAAAACGTCTGTGAGGTTCGGCTTCTGTCCTGGGTGGAGATTTAGGCGATGTTTTTATTAAAATATTAAGTTTTGTCGGTGTTCTCGTGTCTACAGTTAATGGGGCCGGATCTAATGTTGGCATGTTTGTTCCAGGTGTAGTACGTTCAAATTGTTCGATACTATTTGACAACAATTCTAAACCACTGACGTCTACTGGAGGTCTTGAATTTTGTGGAGGATGTGGAACTGGTGTTGTTCTCGCAGTGTCTATCACTAAGTCGTTAGAAGCATTACTACTAGAGTTGTCTAGTCCATCATCTCTTTCAATTGTATCTATTGCTTTTTCAACTGTTCCCACAACAGTTGTTGCGAGTCCTTCCGAAGATTCTTCATCCATGGGTTGATGTTGCAGTAATTGCGTTTGTGCTTGCAACATATTTTCTTCTGGATAATGTGCGACTCCAACACATGCTACGTCCCTTTCATCTTCATCAGCATGATTCGGCGATTCATCATCCTCATCAATGTGATCTGTTTGGTTAGAAGCATCTCTGTGTGCTGGGAGTTCAGGTGCATCAGGAGGTGGTGTCGGAGGCGCAGCTGGTGACGTGGCTTGACTCCGACACGCCTGCTCTGAGTAGTCAGGCTGGTAGTACAAGTGCGTCGTAATCAGTGGCTGCTGAACAGGCTCTGGCGCATAGCTTGGTTGTGGCTTCTCATGCTGGGGTTCAGGTTCTATCTTGATAAGATGGGGCGTAATCAGAGGTTGCATGATAGGTTTTCTTTTATCTGCTGTATGTGCTGGGTGCGGTTGAGGTTGTGGGGCCGGCGCCAGAGTTACTAAGCGCGTAGAATGTGTGTGGGTGTGTTGTAACGTCGCTGTACTGGCGAGGAGGTCGCCTGGTAGTAGTTGTAGGTGATGTGACGGGTGCGGCGCTTGAGGGAGGAGCAGTGGTGCTGATTGGTAGGGCATTCCTCCCCAGACGACTGCATGTGGTAGGTCAGGAGGTGTGGGCAGCAGTAGGAGTGCTCCAGACGTGGGTTCCCGCACCAGCTGGAACCCGCTCGACATGCCGCCACCCACGGAGCCCACGCCGCCGACACCGACACCTCCGACCATCATACTCTCCATAGATACTTGAGCTGGAAACGAGAGATGGCCATCGTTAATTTTCAATTCACTTGCAACCTTGTAAAGTAGGTTTAGGTAGTATCAGTTCAAGATCTACAAGTAACTAAGACAACATACCTCATTGTTACGAGGTAAGTAGTACCGAATAAGTAGGTAGTGATTATATAAAATACTACTAGGTATAATATAATTACCTAGGACATTAATTTGTCTATTCACATAAAATAACATGCACCTCTTAAGAAGTGTACACATCGTATAGTTTTATTAGCATATACGATGTCCATTAGTCGTATGGTCATGATTCAGTCAGAGTGTAGAGACGAGCCGATTGTATTAATATTCAGCGCCCGCGCTTCCGGAGACGTGCGGGAATGTTAATGTTTTGGTGGGAATTTACTTTTTATATCCATGTTTGTGTTTTAAATACGCCGCAGGGACTAAGTACCTATAGCAGAACTTATTTGTTTATTGGAAAGCATAATTTTTATAAACATAATTTAGGGAGGAGGTACATTTGAGATGTATCGATATCGATAAGTTGTAAGGAAAATATTAATGAAGTATCTAACCTAACCTTACCTATAAGTAATTTCTAACTTCACTAAATTAAACGATACGGCTTAAATGACCACCTACAATGTACCTACGTACCTACCTAGGTACGTACTTGCAGTACCTAACAAGTATTAATTTTTTTTTTCGTTAGGCAGGGTAGTTAGGTACTTCATTCATAATGCATAACCGTAGTAGTTAGCTAGGTATTAGCATAAAATGTGTTCAACTTTAATAACTGTATGCTAGGCCTGCATGCATACTATCAACTATTGCCGTGTCTAAGGCAGCACATAATAAGTAAGTATGTCTCACATAAGTACTTTCATTTTAACTAGAAGTTAGTCCACGATATCAGAATCCGGACACCCATTAAATTAGTTGTTTTCCCATTTTCAGAGAACTTACAGAATAGGTCCACTTTACTTATCATAAATCTACATTTTGGAAAGATCAGCTAACTTCACCGTCTCACCGACGAAGCGACTGACTGATCTAATTTGGTATTAAAGATTCGTCGAAATAAATCCTTTCACTTTGACTATCATACTTCCAACCAAGGTGAATAGGTAGGTACTTACCTACCTATATTAGATTTGCCTGATTAATTATTTATTTCCCAAATTAAAACAAACAAACATCTAAATAAATTCCGAACAATGTTTAAAATTCATTTTGTTACTCTGTGTACTAATGTTGAATCGAATCGAAACGCATCTTAATGACTTGCGTTTTACTGTTCCAATTAATCCATTATTCTTTTCACATCCCTACCGAGCGGGAAAGAGATGGCACATACACTTAAATAGTGCGTTAAAAAGAAACAGAATGAGACCATTAGCATCGCTTTAATTTTAAACGGTTCTAAAAAGCGGTCGTTTTTTAAATTATTTGGTTTAAATTGAGTGATGTGTTGAATGAGAAATAGTTTTTAACTCTTTGCCATGTGAATAAGGTATTTTAATGTGTGGTCCCGTGGTTTCACGTTCGCTGTGTTGTGTTCCCAAGTGAATTTATGTAGAGGCCTAGAGGTACACAGCCCACCTTACCAAACCTTCTAATACATCTTCAATAAGTAAATATTCTAAACAATGAATACATAACATCACGCCTTTCATCCCCGAGGGCAGGCAGAGGTGCACATTACGGCACTTAATGCCACTGTACAACGTAACACCCACTTTTCACTATTTATGTTATGAGTCCCATGTAATAGGGGGTGAGTGATACCGGGCAAAATTCCAGACTCCGTGCTACTACTGAGGTTTTTTTAAACAATTAAAACTTCTGAACAATTAAATTAAATAGTATCGCAAATAGACAGGTCATTAGCTAATTTCGAATAAAAAAAAATACCTAAGCAAAATAAGACAGTGAAACTCATTCGTAGGTTCGCCCAAGAAAAATAAGTGTCCTGTCATTATAGTTCCACAAATTTTCATAAAAGTCTAACCGATTAAAAACGTAGATAGGCACCTAAGTACTTAAATATAAAAGCCAAAATGACGGACTGCTTATTACCAAGATTTCAATTTGCACAATGAACAGACAAAGCAGACGTGATGGCCGTGAGGCACAGCGGCTCGAGAGTTCAGAGCAAACCTCCTCATTAACTAGGCACCTAAGTTCTATGTGATTACCTCCTAAGATCGACAACAGACACGTAAAATACGTATCTGGGACTTCTTGAAACCCTTATATGTAACCCAGATATGTATCTACTGTGACGCTGTAAGAGGTCTAGGTTTCAGAGGTTTTAATATAATTTAAGTACCTAGGTATCACCTGGTTGTTTAATCGGAATAAATACCAAAACGTGCCTATCGACAGGGTAACTCCACAGTGTCCACTTGATCAGCCTTTACGTCCTTTAACTTAGTTACTTATATACTTGCATAACTAATTTTAGTGGGTACTACCTAATACCTAAGTAATCAGAGCTTAAGTTTGGTTTAGTAGGCAATATTGATAAAAATCGATTTCTTGAAAGTAATCGACACCTTTTGATTTCGATTGTAAACCACAAAGATATCAGTTCCTTTCCTGTTTACAAAAGTTTATCGTACCTACTATAAATAGCTATTAAATTATAATTTCGTTATCAGATAGTGTATCAAGCCACCAATTACGGTCACATCAATCATTGTAGTGAACATGTTTTTTTTTCAACGGTCGCGTGAGGTGTCAAACGCGCGGCGTGCGTCCGAGACGCGGCAAAAATCGCCATTACCACACAACTTGTTATTACAAGAAAAACATAAACGCAAAAAGTCATTCACAACACTAAAAAGATCGAGGCGGCAAAGATGAAGGACTGCCTTTGTAGGCGCGACGGCTTCTTATTGGTCGAGGCGCTGAGTAGGCGGAGTCTTGTGGGCGGAGCGATAAATGTTAGGGCTGCACGTAAGTCGACTCCGGTTTATCGATAAATGAGTTTTTATGTTTTTTTATGGTGTTATAATTTATGGTGTGGAAGTGACAGAGTTCCGTTCATGGGGAACGATTTAGCGGATGGATGCGGGTGAGCGATGGATCTGATGATGTTTTTTATGGTCTCAAGAAATATGTCGTCATTCAATTTAAAGTGGCCGACACGTGAGAAGTATTTGGTGATTACTGTATCGCGGGTGTTATATTTCGCGATGATAATATTAATTAAGTGGCTCATTACTAACGACAATTGTACAATGAACAGACTATACTAACTTATTTTGTAAAGTTGTCGGAAAAATTCCACTTTTATGATTTGGCCAGTGAGAATAATATAATAAGAATAACAATCAATCCTCAAAATCTTTAACATGGTTCACCGAATTATTTAGCAACGTTAATAATTAAGTATCTACGTTTGATATTTGTATTGAACCTAAATGATAACTGTCTGAAAACAAATGCTTTTAAAAAACTAACTTAAATAACCAATTTCTAGACATGCTACACATCCTAAGCTAACAGACATGAATTTAAAATGATAGCTAATGAACTCTTGTAACATAGCTTTTTCATATTTTTTGCAAAAGCTGTCCCGTGGTCCTTAATTCATGGTTGTCTAAATGTCTACGTTAAACATCATGTCGTTATTAATGTTCAAACACAAATAGATAGCTAACAATTTAAATGTAAAGTAATTTATTCAAACCGTAACTGAATTGTTAATTAGGCACTTTTGTGTTACATACTTATTAGGTAAGGATAGATCCTTACCTAGCGGTAATAGATCATTCTGTAACAGTAGAAGCGCGACAGTCGCTGCTTCGGGGATCGCGAAATGCTGCTCATGAATATGAGCCTCTAGCATGACTTGAAACTAGTCGGGTTCCTCGTCAAATTATTACGTGAGTAAGCCGAAAAACATCATAGGTTAGGTAATGAATTTATTCTGTAACATTCCGTTCAAACTTTCGAAGTGAGCTCGATGGCATTCTCGCTCGTCAATTGTCGAAACTACCTCTATTCTCACAACCAATGATATGGTGGACCGCGATCGAGGTCACTTTGATCTTTCGAATTGAAAGTTAGAAAATAGCTTACCTGCTCATATAATCGAGCAACTATTGTTAGTTGAGGACAAACAGCAATTTATCATCATAACTATTACGAGACTTACTTACTGAATGTAAAAATTACGGGTTACTCACGTAAATATGCTCAGAATAGCTCTACTAGTTTCGAGTCACAGAGGGACTCTTCCTCATGAGCAGCTTGCGCGGTCGCGAGAGCTTACTGATCAGTAACTTGTAATTTTTAGTTGGTTTACATGATCATTGGCTCATTTCTGTCCACTATTACACTATCTACTAATGACCTAGTTCTTCAACTGTTCTTAAACTTTCCCTGTTATCGTTTATTGATATCATCATAAATCAATCTGTACAGGCTCTAATTTTAACGAAAATAGGTTTCCTAATTCTCAGTAGTAGCACGGAGTCTGAAATTGTGCTCGATATATGGCAATAGGCTCACCCTCTATTACATGGTACTCATAATCATAACATAAGAGTGTAAAGTGGCTTTTACATTGCACAGTGGTAATAAATGCCGTATGATGTGCACCTCTGCGTATCTCTTAGAGGGTAAAAGGAGTGATGTTATGTGTGTTATGGTATTCCAACAGTTCATGGGTCCAGTGACTAGCAACTGCCGACTACAAAGTAGGTGTTAAGACTCTATGTGTATCATTTATAACTATATTATTTAATAATTACCATTATTTTTTCCTCTCTCTCTCTCTCTTTGTTGTTAGTTTATTCTCCGTACCTCAGTTTTCGCAGATTTTCTACTTAAACCCTAAGGTTGACTGGTAGAGAATGCCATATGGCATTAAGTTCGCCTTATGTACCATAAACAAATTATGTACATTAAAGAATAAATAAATAAATAAATAAATAAATAAATATTGTATATCAAACAGTCCGGAAACTCTTTGATATTTTCGATGCTCGAAATTCTCAGTCGCTTGACATAAGTCATTACAAAAGTACCTATGACATTAACAGAACTATAGCTATGGGATACCTAAGTATAAACTTAGCCATAGTTTAGTCTGCCACTTTTAAGCTACTTAAGTACATGAAACACAAAAAATATCTGGCGAAAAGTGTATCTGCTGTCGAATACCTGCACTTCGTTCTTCAGGGGAACAAAGTCGTGAAGTTAATTAGTTTATTCAAAGAAAAACTGAGTAATTATTCACTGTAGTTCTAGATACCTATTAATATTTAAGTATTCTAATGTGTCTATGGGTAATATTTCTCTATTAACCATTAAGTTGTCTATGGCAGCCATTAATCGGACTACTGCAGCTGTTTATGCTGTTACATTTTGAATTATTGCATTAATTACAATAAGCCAATAATTTATTGGTTCCAAGTATTATGTATTATACAAATATAGGCCCTACTTATAGGTAGATATCGTTGTTTGTCCCGTTAGCATACAGCGATGATTGATTTTAGTTTGTAGTAGGTAATCCTGAGGAATTTGACACCTCATTCTCGCAAAAATATGTTTTTAAATTACTTAACTGGTTTCAAAGATTAAGGCGATCAAATACTATCATTAACACCATCGTTAAAGCCTAAATAAAACTTTATAATAATATCTTACTATCCTTCTAACATAATAAATGCAAAAGTTTTGTTGGTTTGTTTACACCTTCATATCAATACGGCTGAAGGGATCGGGATAAAATTTAGAACAGGGGTAGATTATGATTTTGAGTTACATATACGTTACTTTTTATCCCAGAAGAACGCGGGCGAAGCTGCTGGCAGAAGCTAGTTAGTTTTTCGAAACTGTAATAACTTATGAGCTTATTTCTCCAACACTAGATAAATTTAAACTCAGCAATAACTTTGAACATACATACGTACTTGACAACACATACTACCATACTAAAAACTGTCAAATGTCAACTATATTCTTACAGTTTAGAATTAAGTGTCGATTGAAAAATCGGCCATAATGTAAAAGAGAAAATAATTAACACTTTGAGTACCGTCATTATAGACACAATTAAAGAACAATAGCTTGCGGTCACCGGTGTCCTTATGGTGCTTGACAGTTTAAACTGAATAATAAGAATAATTAAACATACATACGTAGCTAAAAGTAGTGGTTCAATAACTTCTTCAAAAATGTGTAACTGCAGTAGATTTGGGAAGTAAATTACCTAAACTTCTCAGGGGGAAAAACGGATTTGATAAAGAGAAGTAGGTAGGATTTATATTCTATAACGATAGATAACATTTGATAGCCCATATCAAGTGTTAACAATTTAGATATCGCAATTCGCAATCCACAATATTTTAGTATTGGCCGTGAACAGTTGCAATGAAAAGTGTTAGTTTTCTCCTACGTTTTGAAACATACCTCACTTCCTCACTTCATAAACTAACAAGATTAGGCATATTATCATCAGACTCATATACTCATTCACGAAAAGATCGATATCGACATAAATCAAACTCTATTTAACCTAATGCAAATCAATTAGGAGAAGTTTTATACTAAACGACTCATAATAATACAATTTTAATGAAGAACAGATACGCAATTAGAAACAAAATCCTAAAAATCCACAGTCACTCATTCATTCCCTCATAGTCGGCCACATTCACTAATTAACTTTTGTCGCTGTGTGTACCAGCCCATTCAACTGCACAATTGCTCTGACGAGTGCGAAACTCAACGCCGTCGTTTTAATGGCAAAAGGATTTCATTAATTTATACCTAATGATGAGAAAAAGGCTAAAAAACGTACGAAACTCGATGAAAGGCCCGATCGACATAATAAACGGAGTCGGGTTACTGAGCCAGTCTCGTGGCTTGTATGCGTGGTTCCGCATAAATTATTCCTTACCTTTGGGAAGTTCTATAGGATTAGGTTTCATTATAATTGATTAGGCGAGTGGTAACGAAGTGCTTAAATTATTTTGGATCGATTTCTCTATGAAATTTGGAGTGTTAACCTTTCTTGTCAAGAGACGGTTAATTTTGGAAAACTACATAATAAATACATTGGTAAGTATAGTTTTGAAATATGTAGATACTTAAGTAAGTAGGTAGTAAAATAAGTAGATTAGATACCTACTCAAGTTCCCTAGGAAGCTTGTCAAAGCATGACATTAATTCGCGTTCAAGCATAGCTTATGTGGGATAAAAACATCAGTTATCTATTTAGTATCTAGTTTTTGTATTCGTTTATGAACTACTAAAAAAGTGTATTTGTTTATGAGGAAAACGTTATCGCAGTTAATGACAAGTTAAATGCTTAAAAAGCTTACAAAAGTAGTGTACCTTTAATATAAAAAAATAACTAAAATAAAGCGTCGAAGTAGCCACGCGCAAACTCTTCGTCATCGTAAAACCCTGCCAAATTCAGTACACCATTCTATCGATGCAGTCCATTACTATTAGCAACTACGCAATTTGGTCGCTTAACTGAAACCGGTCATCGACTATTGACCGGACGAGTACAGTTGCAATGCTGCTACCAAAGCAACATGACTGAAGAGGTGGTGTATCCAAACTGGCGGCATTCTCGATCAGAATTAGGCGCCTTTTAGTAAGACCTATTTTCTATCTCTTTTTTAACTTTGGGAAAGAAAGAGATAGCAATAGATTGGCTTAAAGAATTGCCCACTGTTCAAATTTTCATTTCTGGCCGGGGTCCGATGTCGCTGAAACGGCGGTCTCGCAATGCAGTTGGCGCGTAGCTACCAGGGTCGCAGATATCAGTAGGAGGTGACTCACCGGGGTACGGCCAGAGGGGAGCGGGCGGTGCGGCAGTGGGCGGGGCCGGCCACGCCAGTGGGGCGGGGCGCTCGTCGCAGAGCACGTTCGCCACGCCGACCGTCATGGCCGCTTGCGCCGCTTCTGCACAACAACACAGTGACGTGGCGGCTGCAACGCGCGGCACGCGTCCAGGACACGACAATTACTTATTTATTGTACACGTCATCATAAATACAACTATCATTTCGTGTCTAACATTACTAGACATTAATACTTTCGATACATAAGTGAAAAGTAAAGTAGTGCACTCATCGCAATGAACTTTGTTCATCTACTTTGACGAAATTTGTGATTTCACAAAATCTACCTAAATATTTTAGGTACAGTACAGTAAACATAAATAAAAATACAACAGGCAATGGTCCTCAGATTTATAAAAGCGATCACCGTTCACCGATCACAACTATAACAAACATAAGTTGTTGGTAACACATAGGGAAATACGTAACTAGATAAGTAAGTACCTACATAAGGATATCGAACTGCCACACGCGTCATAAGCACCCTCACTGTCTCTGTTAAATAAAGGCACCTCAAGAGCAAGACTACAATCTTATACAAAGGTATCATGAAAATAAGCTAAGAGGTATCCGTTACCTGCTTACCTACTTACACCTACATAATGGTAGGTGCCAAGAACCATAAGCAACTTACATAGCCGAACATACATAAGTAAATATAGATACACTGCATGACATGAAACTAAAAAAAAATACGTCAAAACATATAAAGTTCCATCCTACATCACGCAACAACTTTGTCCTGGTACAATTAGCAAAAATCTGAATTAGGTTGTACTCAAGTAGATAAGTAGGTCAGTACCTACTTACTTAAGTGAACTTTGCTTTAAAATCAATGAGTTCTATTCAATAGGTAAGTACTTAGTTCCTTAATCATTCCTCACTAAGTTTAGAACATACTTACTCCTTTTTGGGAAAGTTAATGTGTGTTAAAATGAGTACCTGCCTACTTATGGGTAAGTAGACACTGTCCATTACTAATTAAATGTCACCATATACATAAACGGAGTCTCGAAAACAACACTTGAATAAGAAGAAAATAACGAAGGATAAGAAGAACGAAGAAAGAGTGAACAGAAAAGCTAAAGAACACGTCCAAATACCTTAACTGAGTTCAATACTTAATGGTTCAATGAAGGTGCCTATGGTCCAAAGAAGGTGACATCCCAAGATTTAGTTTCCTTCGTTTCAACGAAAAAGTATAAGTCTGAATTATTTGTGTATTTTATTATTACTTACTAGCGACCCGCCCCGGCTTCCCACGGGTGCAATATGCATGTCTTATACATAGGTACATACCTATAAACCTTCCTTAAGCATCACTCTATTTATTAGGTAAAAGAAACCACATCAAAATCCGTTGCGTAGTTTTAAAGATCTAAGCATACATATGGAAAGACAAACGGCGGATAGCGACTTTGTTATATACTATGTAAGTGATAAGCAAAGATATACTACGAAATAAAAATCTTAAACTGCTTTGACTAGGAATTCAGGAGCAGTATGGCGTGAAACTAGTCGAGTTCTTCTTTAAACGGTTATCTACATGATAACATGAGTAAGGTACTTACCCTAAGCCTTTAAAAAAGTATCAACGTTTGATTGATGTTTCTCTGCTGCCTATCTATCGGGTTCTGATAGGAATCAGTTTCAAAATATTTATTAAGCCTTAAATAGCTAAGTATCTACTTTTATTCGCAAGTATTTATAACACATTAAAGGTAGCATAACATCAAAAAAATACATAAAACAAAGAAACGAGAAAACAAAACAAAGCAATTAGAAGTTTGAAAGGCTCGATCATAAAAGAGAAGCTACCCCATGTGTTTCCACGGCGATTAAAGGATTACCAGATGAATGGACACCCCACGTCACCTGTTAATATCATTTAGTGAGGAAAAGGGGCGCCTCGCCATCAAACCACACATTCAGATAAAAACTAAAAAAAGGACATCGATTTCGATAACAATGCGTTTCCCATCTCTATTCTATAGCTGCAATGGAGTGTCGATCGAACTGTTGCGTTCGCAATCAAATAAGTATTTCGAAGTTTTTGTGATTTCGATTACCCAATTATGTAGGTAGATAGGCAGGTAATTGAATGTGACCATAAAATAACCTATGGTCTTAAACGGTCAAACACCGCGAGGACACCGGTGACCGCAACCTATTATTCTTTAATTGTGTCTATAATGACATTACTCAAAGGGTTAATTTAATAGAAGGAACCCTATAGGTATTTAGAATAGGTACTTACGATCGGGAATGCAAATATCACGCGAGATCTCGCGAGATTATAAAATACAATATCGTGTAGTTTACTATTTCTATACTTTGACTACTTTAACTACTTATAAAATAACAAATGAATTACTACTAACGAGATCTTGCCCAGTTTTCGATCGAGATTACTCACTCACTAAAAAGGGACGAGATCTCGTGAGATCGATATTGCATTCCTTAATCCAAACTCTATGTTAAAACGTTTATAGCAAGTGTTCACAAGCTTATTCCTACTTACCTATAACTTTTTACCGGTGCTGAAATAAGTAAACAAAAGACTCAAGTACTACATACGACCTATCTACTTAATTAGGTAGGGACATAAACAAACAACTTGACTTGATCATAGCTTTCATAGGTAAATACTTACACGAATAGCCTAGGTAAGGAAATGACAGAGATTTACGAAAACATTGAAACAGTAAACCATTGAAGCTCTATTACTTATAATAGAGCTTCTCAGTACTTCTCAGCACTTCTCATCAATGTTCTGTGTTCACCATTTTATCGTCGTAAATATATCTAGAATTTACAATTCTAACCCCAATTATCTTCATAGCTTTTCAGCACTTCTCAGTCGTATTGATACTATTTAATACCTATATCAAAACGTTAAGATTGATATATTACAGGAACATAATGTATTACCTATAAGTAGAACTACCCAAAAAGTTTGAACCTCATCAAAATCTTGTGCTAAATGCAAATCAATCATCTCAAATAGCTGTAATAATTTGATATAGGTATTTCATTTTAATGATGATCAACGGATTTTGATGTATTTTTTTGACGTATGAACTGTACCTACTTATTTATTCAAGATATCGATTAATTAATGTATAATATTTGTAATACTGTCTGCTACCTAACTACGAACGGACTCTACAAAGACATCATAAAACTCAGGATTTTGCCATCAAAGATGCCAAGTCCCAAACTGAACTAAATCCTCGTAAATGTACGGCGCATACTTACCGGACGTAGCCCTACATAATATCTGTAGTAGGTATGTGACCTGACCGGGCTACCCAGCTGATCGGAAACCGGTCCAGACCGGTTTCACACTAATTTATATTGTAATTCATTTCCACTCGGTATTAAGCCAATGTGCCTTTTGACTTGAGCTTAGGTTAACAAGTCTCAGTACTAACTAATGCTCTTGATCGATGTTGGAAGTCGGAATGTATTTTACATGCAAAGAAGAATCGGATATTTTTTAATCTGTTCGTTTTTACCCAGGGCTAAGTACCTGGGTACTAACAACACGTTTACAATATTGTCATAGTTCGTTTTCGACCCAGCTTTCATAACCGTTGCTTATTAATTTATTAAACCTATGATTTTTATATTCATTTTCTACTTAAATTAATTTCAATTCCAAATAATAATGGGTAAATCTTATCTTTACTAACAACTACCATGGCTGAAATTCGGTGCGATTTATAAACTATTTTCTTTATCAATTTTACTGAAATCGGTTCTTCTTCGATGAGAAACAAGAAATTAAAACAAAAACTAAAAATCAGTGCTATTCTCACGAAACAAATTCCCACAATGAGATGAAATATCGGAGTAGCAGCGGGGCGAGGAGCCAAAACGAAAATTATGAAAGGAAGCACGTGCTGGTTGGTCTGTCTCACTCTGACGCATAGCGTCGTCTTAGTTTGACACTTCTCGACGTCTTGTTGTACTACAAACAGAATAAACAATACGAGTTGACCGACAAGCATTTTATGAAATGCTTGTTTTTATGTTATGAACCTGTATATTTATATTATTTTTACATATGTACATGGTAACTACATATAACTTGATGTATGTATTAAAATAAATTCATATCAAATAAGTAAATACGTACTTAAAACAACACAAAATTGAACACTTTTCGATTTCCTTTCAGTTATACCTTTTTGTAACAAGTATTAAAATCAGTGTCAATATTATCAAAACAGGCTCATCGACTATTTATTAAATAAAATATCCATTTACTTTATCACGTCAACAATCTTGATACGTACGTTTTATCTATACTTGAATAACACTGCGTATCCTATCAGTTCGGTTGACCTTCACCGTAACGCATGTCTCTATCTCTGTCTAACGCTAGCATTCCAAGCGCCGGTGTGTCTCTTTCCCTCCTATGGTTATACAGCGGCCGAGCCGCGCCGTATAACTCTTCGTATTTACTGTGAGCCTAGTATCACGCGCGCTGAAGAAAAGGGTTTATCCGACGCCGTGTGACCCGGATGGAACTAGGCTTTTCCGACCAAAGAAAACTATGAAGTTTTTCGCTATAAAAACTTATTTTCCAATAAATATAAATTAGCGCATTTTACAAAATCGTATTGTTTAGATTAAGTTAAAATTGAGATACAGGTATATTGTCAACCTGGGAGTATTTCTGTAGGTATGTAGTAAAAAATTGTAACGGTACATAGTGTTCGTATGTATTATTTTTCATACCAGGAAATTTAGGCCATAGTAAAGCGTCCCTATTGTAGAATTAAAATAACTGCACGTATCACCGCGTTGCCGTTGCCGCGTTGCGTGGTCAACGTAGTGAAGCGTAGCGTAAATAGTCTGACACGACATCGTCGCTTCGTTTCGCTTGTGGTCGCTGGGCTAACTAGTTTTACTCGCGAATCATGCACAATAGCGATGACTATTGATGGTAATAAAAATTAAATAAATCGACACAATTATTCGAGTGTTATAAGTACTATCTTTATCTACCATATCAGATTCTGCAAAATGGCAGAATGCATGGTACAATCCAGCGATTTTTAAACTACTTTTATTTAAAATTTTAAGGTAAGTAATGTCATAATTTACGAAATAATTAATTTAGGACATTAAAATGCATTACTATTCTTTATTTTCGTAAAATAACATTTATTATACTCAGAAAAGTAAGAAAAATAATAAAGTACCTACGTAATGTCAAAAGTGGACGACTCGACCGACTGTCGGTCTCCCACAAAATGTACCAAGGCAGCATGAACGCGAACGAATGAATCATTTGAGTTGTTGTAGCGCGTCTGACAACTTGTTCCTAACTAGTGTGTTTCAGAAACAAAAATGTAATAATCAGCTTTTACTTTAACCGGCTTTATTATTATTTATTTATTTATCTTTAAATCACACATGTAAGTATGTTATAATTTAAGCCCCACAAAACCGTTGCAATGGTTTCACTGTTGGGTCGAGTCACTATAACTTAACCCCGTTTTGTATTTATTTAAACTTTTATTTTAATTGCAAGTTGTAACTACATACCAAAACAACAACGTACCTTGCCCCATTAATAAACTGATATACTTGATGTAGATTATCCAAAATTACAATTATAATGCAAATAAATGTCAACATGCACATTTAATAGCAAAGTCAACATTTTTTCTAACAAACACGGGGCTGGGGTGAGATATGGTACCCTCTTTGTTCACCCTCCCCAGTAATTCATAGTGGATTCAATATTTCACGGAGTTTTAGAGTTTAATGTCAACGAGTTAACGTTCATAATTCAGTGACGACGTTAAGGTAGGGTTCTTAAGTTTATTTGAAAATTTTATGCATCCATTTAGGGAATTGAAATCTATGTATCAAGGTGCGAAATGCCTATAAATATAGACAAGACTATGCTAACAAGTTGGTCTACAAAGAAATTAAATAAATGTTTTACGCAATTAATATTACTCTGAACTACGAAGTTTGAAAAACTTTGCGAGCTCAGTCATTTCGTATCTTGCCTTTAAGTATGAATAGACAAAATTCGGACATTCACGCGACGATTTTGTATTTTATGTTACCTAATCAAATAAATATAAGTTAGTAAATTATTACAGACACAATAATATCACAAATTAAATTAAACGATGACTTTATAATATAAATAGTGTTAGAGCAGTAACACTCAGTTTTCCACGACAATAAATTGTTATAATCGGCCATTGAGCGGACATATTTGATTGCATGATCGTTAGAAAATCGCTTTTTATGCCTAATAGCCATTTAATATGAAACATGGATCTGTAGGATCATTGATAAGATATTTCTTCTACCTAATACATAATTAAAGTTCACTTTTATTCTTACTTATTCCATATCCACACATTAGACGGAATTCGAATCGAATAAAGGTACTTAAAGGATTGATGAAGCTTAACTTATTATTGGTAAGATTTGGTAACGATACAATAACAGCTAATATCTATGTCTGGTCTTGTTATGTACTAAAATTGCCAAGTTGATCCTAGGATCATCTTTTTGGTAGCTAACCTAACTGCCATTCCCTATACGCAAGTTGGCTGCCAAAGTGTGGGCAAACCCTGTCTAAATAGTGAACCCTTGTTCAGTGCGTACTGGAAGCAGATATTCCTTCCTCCTCTTGATTGTGATTCATGATGTAGTCTAGCTAGCTAGTATTATACGATTGTATGTATATATCTATTGTGCAGCGTCTATTAATCAGTGTTATTAATAACTATGACAGATAACAATCGGAAGATCAAAAACAGACAATTTTGTAAGAAAAACAAAAAAAGATATTAGGATAACATCATTAGTCAAGAGCTATTACTATTAGCTAATGCCCAAGCAATTACTTTCAACTATGATTGATGCAGTCATTCAGAGTTAAATTACTGCTAAGCGCAAGCGTCCGTTCGTCTGTTTGCTGTACTATACCAAACACTATTCGTAATAGTAATTTATTCAGACACCGTGAAATATTTCTTTTATGACTTAAATATGGTTAGTTGGTTATACGTAGTGTGTAATGTGTCTTGGGTACCTACTTTCATGCTGAATATTTCTACAGGATATATTGTAGACATTTGTTTGGCCCTATTGTCGATTAATTACTCCACCAAGCCCCAAGCGTCCAAGGCAATAGCAATTTAAAACGTATCAAAATTGTTCAAATTATTTAT